ATTTATGCATTTCACATCATTATCACAGATTATCAGATAAATGACAACTAACTCGTCTGACCTGTTCACTAATTTCAGGGCTTCTTCATACTGGTTCTCGGAGTTTCTGAGCTGAGTTTCCTTATGAGCTGTGCTTGGCGTTACTTTCTAGGTATTTGGTGTCTGAGATGTTTGTTTTTCTTTCCTAACAGGTTTGGGAGACACTTAAAAGAAAATTGAGAATCACTAGACTCACTGGATCCCATGCCACACATATAAACATGTTTCGCTCGTTTATTTCCTTCAAGTTTTTCATGCCAAAATGTTTATATAAAACACAATTGCATCTTTCCTATCATAGACTTCAAGCTCTGGAGCCCATATCTATGGCAGAAGCAGTTCTTCCAACAGAACGACTCTTAACGATGTTTTCAACACCCTTATGAGAAGAGGGAGGCGTACGTACAGTACTGCACTGTATCATGATTTCTTCAGCATATTGCCTGAACATTCAAAGTAATATTCTTACGTTTTACAGATGCTGGGGAATATTCCTCCCACAACTCTGGAGCATCAGAAAGTTTTCTAAACGGACAGTTTTCTTAGCTGGACAGACAGGCGCCTTAATTTCCCGTCAGAATGTCTTTGTAATGCTGGTTCCAGTGCCACAGGCACAACTTCATGCTGAAAATGTTTGAATTCTGTCTAGTACAATGCCTTTCCAAATGCTTCCATTCACAGTAGATTACATCTTGAATATTCAATACTTTTGTCCTGTTTTCTATTGGTGTTTCAATTTAGATTAAAACATATGTTTGTACCAACATGTACACACTGTTTTATGAAAACAGAAATTAAATTCTGGTTTCTGTTCGAACACTGTTTAGTGTGCCAACACCTTTGTCCTTCCTCTCTATTAAATCCATAAATGAAAAACAATTGTTTCTAATTGTTATTATTAGGGGTGCCTGCTAAGTATATAAATAAAGTTTTTGAAAGTGTATTCTTCAGAATACAGAAAAACATTTATTCTACATATTGAACATCTTTATTAAAATAATCGGATCTGCTTTTCATTTTTCAAGCAACTTACAAGAAGAAACTCTGCACTATATTGACAGTTATTGAGTTTAATATTGCTTGAGCTGAGAACAACGTGTCAACAATGTGACAGTAATTTTAAACAAAACACATTTTCACGTTTTTTTTCTCTTTTTATTTTAGGTGCAAATTTTATACAAATTTGTCAATAAATAAATATCTGATACAAATACATTAGCACAGTTTAGGTTTTATATTTAGTATTATCATGTTTATAGCTGTGCAATAAATACCTATGTGCACTTACATAATACATTCATAACAGAGGCAGCATATGACATTTGCTAATGGATAAAATTCCATCTGATTGATTGTTCTACATGCAGTTTTTCAATGCTTGTAGTAAATTATTTTTACATTACAGTGCCCAAGTTGTAGTATAATTACAAGAACTAAGTAGCAGAAACTTGTAATAAATATAAAATGATTCTGTTGAACAACCTGCATTTTCCCAATGTGATGAAATCGTGATGTCACAGTTTCTTTGCAATTCTCGCTCTGTCCTCTAGAGGGTGTTGTGTCTCTACTCCACAGTCTGGCCTGTCTTCCTTGTCGAGTCAGTCTCGATGTTTAGTCCTCCATCCTGACTTATGCCTTTTTTTTTTTTACACCTGTCTTAGGCCTAAAAGCACTTTATTTAAGAGCATAAATGTGACCCTGGAGCACAAAACCAGTCTTACGTCGCTTTGGTACATTTTTAGCAATAGCCAAAAAAACATTGTATGGGTCAAAATTATCGATTTTTCTTTTATGCCAAAAATCATTAGGATATTAAGTAAAGATCATGTTCCATGAAGATATTTTGTACATTTCCTACCATAAATATATCAAAACTTAATTTTTGATTAGTAATATGCATTGCAAAGAACTTTATTCAAGGCAATTTTCTCAGTATTTAGATTTTTTTGCACCCTCAGATTCCGACAGTTAAGCATGAAGGATTGTGATTTTAATGGATAGGTATTCAGACTTGTGTCCACATGCCAAAGAACCGGCATTCTTAGCACAATGCATATTTGAAATTACAAGATTGCTCATTTCATTTAAAACAAAGGGTTACTTCAGGTAGAGTTATTACAGTAGTCCACTTTAGATATTATACTAACGAAAAGTAACTTGGCAACTACATGTCAACAAATGCTAATTAGAGTATTAGAGTAGAGGGAGAGAGATAATAAATTATATTAAAATCGAAAACAGTTCTTTTAAATCGAAATATTTCACAATATTGCTGATGTACTGTATCTTTTTTATCAAATAAATTCAGCCTGGTGAGAGACTTAAAAAAAAAAAACCTTAAAGACTGCAGTCTTTCAAAATAATTATGTATAATTTTGAAGTACTTACCATTACTGTGTGTTGTGTTGTATAGGAGCGCATCCTCCGACTTCTCCTTAGTGTCTCCAAGTCCAGAGAAGACGGCTATCACCACCATCAATCCAAGTACTGATGGAGTTTTAGGATTACATTATAGTAACTATATATTTCACTTTTATCGTCTTTAACGTAGAACACAGTCATTTTGTTGTAAGCTCATCAGTCTATTTTGTTTTATGAAAAGTATTATGACTCACCCTGATAGTGCAAACACCTTTTATCCACTTCTTGTGTCATGCTGCGGCCCAAGTATAGATTCAGTTATAGACTGGAGATTCTGGGTTTGTCCGATTTTCGTCACACTTCTGCTGCTCTCCAGATGAAAGTGGTTATTCCCCACAATTTATACCATCCTTCTATATCCTTTTCTGCGTCACTAATGGCAGCCAATCATTTTAACTAGTGACAGGATGTGCAGTAAATCCAGTCCTTTACCCATACCTGTACAATGCTCCACATCACTTCCTGGTCCACAGGCAAGCAGCATGCACAGGCGTGTTTTTGGCCCCATGTTTTTTTGTTTTTTTTCAGTGACCAAAGAATTTGCCTGCAGCTCCGAAAACAGGCTTTTGACATAGTTACTTATTGGCACAAGAGATATTAAAGAAAATTCTAATTACAGATATAGCCAAAGTATTATTTTAATTGTTAACTGTTTTACTGACTGTCATATCCCATTACCCTCCTGTCACATAATGAAAGCAAGTATTCCAAAAAAGCATCCTATTTTGGATGCTTTGCACATTTTCTTCTTTTTTGGGTAGTCACTCTTGTGTTTTTTATTAATTACAATAAAAAATGTAAAAATAAAAGTATTTCTCATGTACTAAACTCTGCAGTCTACATAACATTTGCCTGTAACTTGTAACCAGTAATTTGATGTAATATGTTGGACACAGTGTAGATATAATCTAATTGCCAAGAACCTTGGGGCATTGAAAAAAATGAGAATCAGAAATTTCATATTTTTAAGTGTTTATGTGGAAAAACATAATTTAGCTTTTCCAAATGATTTTGGAAGATCGATTTGGAACATTCATCTCAACAGCAAATTGGTATATCACATAACAAGCCATAATTTTAAATTATTTGCATGGTCAATGATCTAACCGATTACCCATCTTCTAATTTTGTTGTTTTATAACAAAAAAAAGAAAGAAAAGAAAAAAAATCAAATGGGGGTTTGCCATTGGATTGATGCCATTTGGTACATTATCCATTGCAATGTTTTCCAAAAAAAAAAAAAATTTTGGATTACACAAAATCATTTTTTTTTTTTTTAACTATCATCATTTACTCACCCTCATGTCATTCTAAACTTACTTTCCACTGGGGAATGCAAAAGAAAGAAGATATTTTTAAGAATGTTGGTAACCAAAACATTATGGTTATTGACTTCCATTGTATTTCTCAAAATGTCTTGTTTTATGCTCCACATGAGAATGTCATACCGGTTTGGAACGACATGAGGGTGAGTGAAGGATGACAGAATGTTCGTTTTTGGGTGAACTATCACTTTAAACTTTCCATAAACCGGTTTCTTAATGAAGACTCTTTCATACATGGCTTCTTCTTGTAAACCACCAATATTTAGAACAGTAAGAATCAAATCTCTTTTTAGAGAGTCGCAGATTGTAATAGGTATACTGATCTCTGAAGTGAAATCTTTAGCAACACAAGAGCCTTAAAAGGGATAGTTTACCTAGCTAACCCAAAAATGAATGTTCTGTCATCATTTATTCCCTCTCATGTAACACAAAAGATGTCAGTCAGAATATCTGAGCTGATCTCTTTTGTAAATAAAAGTGTATGGTGACCAAAAATGATAAAAAGCACTGTAAAAGTAGTCCATTCGACTCCTGCCATATCTCAAATCTCATTCACATATATTTCCATGCCATGACATGTCACGCCAAGTTTGACGTCAGTGGCACCAGACGTCATGGTTTTTGCTTGCTGTTCCTGAGTTTTGAGGTTTACACCGGAAGCGATGATTTTCAGTGAATAGTGACTTAAAATTCTGGACTGATCCTTATACAAACATATTATATTAGTCACAAACTACTGTGACTATACTTTCAAAAGTCATTTTTATATTTCACAGCTTTTTTATAGCGCAAAATATATGTCCACATTATGAAATGTCTCAGGGAAGCATCAGATATATTTAAAGGGTTAGTTCACCTTAAATTGTGTTCCGAAGATGAACGAAGGTCTTACGGGTTTCGAACAACACGAGGGTGAGTAATTAATGACAGAATTTTCATTTTTGGGTGAACTAACCCTTTAAATTAATGTGTTTGATGTCAAGACCATGCCATAAATCACACTAATAAATAAAGCAGAAAAATGATATTAAATACTTCATGGTGATAAAAATCATAAATACAAGCTATTTATAACAAATCTAGGTTTTTTTGTTGTTTTTTTTAAACAAAAGCATAATAAACAATGTATACATAATACCTTAAATAGGTAGATGAATAAATAAATATTAAGGACAGCAGCATCCTTGTGTTATTTTTTGCCATTTTGTTACCGAGTTCAAACTACTATTCTAAAATAATTTCCTGAGAAAATGTATTAATGTCCCATTTGTCTCAGTGCCAACAGATTCATCTGTCAGATATCTGAGAACCATCTATTACCCTGCTATGAGGCCACCTGTTGAGCAGCCTGTCAAGTCCTACCGAAACTCTCCTGTGAGGATGATGCAAGTAAGACTTCCGGCTTCACTCATGCATCGTCAGGGAGGTAATATTACACTTGCACAGTAAACCCTCCTTATTTTCTTGGCTCCGACAAAATAATAACACTGTAGCAAAGGCGACAGCTCCTTAGAATCATTGAGGAGGCATCTCTCTCATTTTTACAGCGTTAAGAAACGAATTAGGGTGTAGTTACTGTCATGGACATGCATGGCTGCCGTGCCAGCTAGAACAGCCTGTTACAGCTTGCCGACAGGCAGGGAAGGATGTTGTAGAGGAAGCTTGCAGGGGCTTGCGCTTATAATCAAGATATATGGACAAATAGTGCCAATTAAAGTATCCAGACTGAAGTGCTTGTCTCTAGTCCAACCGTAATGGCAGGTTTTGTGTTTGTTCAGTATGTTGGAGCATTTTTGGCAGCAGTGACTGTGTTTTTCATCACCATGGCGATGGTCATTGGGCCGACTCCTCCAGGCACAGGAGTGATGAATCCAGCCTTCACCTTCACAGCTGATTAGGGAGACAAAAACAAACCATGTCTTAAATAACACTAAGAGCTCTGCCCAAGCCAAGAACTTCTTTTATACTACCAAGAGAAAAGAAATCAACCTATAAATCGTGTTGCTAAGTGGCATCCAACCAACGAACACACAATGAGCCAAACAGTGCCTTAGAGGGATTGAGACATGATATCAGATACACTAACTGCCGCACATGCAGAATTATTGCTCATTTTAAACGAACAGATCACTCAAAAATGAACGAAATTCTGTCATTCCAAACCCATACTATTTATCTTCCTTCTCAAGACAGATCGAATTATAAATCATTATTCACTGAAAATCTTGTCCCAAATCGGATCTTTGAAATGAATTCACAAAACCAAACCAAAGGATTAATTTATGAATTGCACTGATTCAGTTCTCAAGTTAAACTCACTGACTCGCTGACTTAACAGCTCAGTGAAGGGATAAACTGTTGGTGAATAATGGCTTCACACAAAGCTATCATTTCATTTCAGCAGACTTGTAAAACAGAGCACACATTGTATGAACCACTTTTATGATACAGTACTTTTACGGTGCTTTTGCGTCCTTTTTGAAGCTTGAAGCTCATCGCCTTTTGTGACGGTCATATGGATTTGGAATGACATGAGGGTGAGTAAATAATTGCAATTTCCAATTTTGGATTAACCATATTGGTGTTACTGTTTACTAAAACAAAACCTAAAACTATTAAAAAATAATGTTTTCATTAACTAAAATAATGCTGAAATAAATAAAATATAAATATTAGATGAAAAACTTCCTTTGAAAAACGAAAAAAAGCTCATTCAAGACATCAATATATACTATAATAGAACACTAAACCTGATTCTGAAACGGGTACTGTAAGAACACTAAAGCAGTCGTGTGTCATTTACCTTCAAAATCCACATCTCCAACAACACGAAGTTTACCAGTGACAGGGTCCTGCATGCGGTTGATGCCGACATCAATGACCATGGCTCCCTCTTTTACCATATCTGCCGTTATTAAGTGAGGCACACCTGTTGTTACAGATTAAGACCAACCGTTCACAAAGACACATTCTCTTAAGAACACAATACATTCTTTATCTTATTAAATTATTAATATTTATACATACTGTAGAATACAGTTTCGAATAAAATACAGATACAGTTCAAACTCATTCAAACTTAATTCATTTTGTATTTCTGTAAAAAATAAGTGCACATTTGACTTAATATGTTGCATAACCAAAGTCTAAGTAAAGTATAATACACTCAGCTAGTCATTATTACAAAATGAACATGGCTTACTGTACATTATCCAACTTATTGCACTGCTACTTACCAAATAAGTAAATACATGAATGTAATAAATGATACAGTTTAGCAGTCATTACACAATGATATCTGACCACAGAATGCAGCTATTGACCAATCAGAATTGAGTATTCTAGACAGCTATGTAATAATATTACAGAATACCTGACCAAGACACAAAGAGCTGACCTGCAGCCGCAATCACTATGTCAGCCAGACTGGTAAGTTCCTTCAGTCGTGGTAGAGGAGTGCATCTATGAGCCATGATAACTGTGGCATCACCTGAAAGATATAATACGCATCAGGAGTATTTATTTAATTGTTAGTTTATTCCATCGTTGATATATGAAATATAATGTAATATCTAATATAATGTTCTTAGTTAAACAGTTTCAGGTTTAAAATTTGATTGCCATGCACATCTTTCCAGTATACAATTTCCAGAAAATCAATGTTAAAACATTTAAAGGTACAATATGTAAGTTTTCACCGCTAGAGGGCGCATATTCAAAACAAACAAAGAAACAAAGGCGTAGTTTGATGACGCTGTGACTGAGTGTGGAATCATGGGAGTTGTCGTCTTCAACCCCACAGCCGATGGAATCTGACAGGACTCGGGCAGAAATCATGTTCATGGATGAGCTAATATATTAAAGATTTCTTAACATCGTAGTATGAAGCAGAGTGAGGCGGAAAGCCGTCGAAGCGAAACGAGGCCGCTGAAGCAATTGCCGAGAGACGAGAGTGACACACGGCTCGAAAGCAGCGGAGCTTTTATTATGCCACAGACGACCGCTTCCGCTCCTTCCGGTCGTGCATATGTGGGGAAAAAAAGCAGCGCTGTTTTATCGTACTAGATACATTTGAAAGTTCTGTTATAATGCTACTCTGTGCGGTCGTCACCGGTCTATTAAAACGCACAACATATTAAAGCGTCTTGATGGTGTTTCCGTGTTTTCTACAAAACAAAACCGGAAATCGAGGGGTTATGACGTCATTGGCAGGCCACACAATGACACTATGGACACGGTCCGTGTCACTAGTTAAAATTGCTTATTTCTCTGGATTTAAACATTCTTCGAAACATTTGGGATAATGTAAGTACACAAGTCAGCAAAATATATAACACTGTTCTAGTGGTTTTTTTATATTTTAATAAAAAATCTTACATATTGTGCCTTTAAAAATTTCAGTCTTTAATTGTGTGCAGGCACCAGGAAATTCATGTCATTTTTAAAGCGCCAACTCCCATTTTTTGTTCATTCCACACATTCTCTTAAAAAAAATGTACATGGATGGTGGTTTCCCCTCACCAGCAAGATGATAACATTCATAAGCAGAAATTCCCAGAATGTGTAACTGTACACCACCACAAAAACCGGAAGCTATCAAATTTGGCTAATCAAAGGTTACATTTTGTGGAATTGACATAACTACTGTAAGTCCACGGGTGTAGCAACTAAATATTACGGGAATAATAATTATAATGCAGTACTCATCACTGTCACAGAACTTCATCATTAGACATATATAATAAGAAGTTTTGACAAAACCTGGAGGGTTCTTCAGGTAAGCACAAGTTCACCTTTATTATACTATGAGTCACAAAAAAAAAAAAGAAGCAGAACTGATTCAAGGCAGCTTCTTTCATTGTGAAAGGAATTTCGTACATGTTAGAGCGCAAACCTACTATAAAAGTGATGTATTTCACAACTCAATTCAAGCATGACTTGCATTTTACCTGTTGAAATCATCAAAATCTTGCACAAACCTAATCCTAATCATTGATACCTAAATAAATGAATCGTCTAACAATTATACAGTTCCAGAAAAAGAAAAAAAACATCTGGTCCTTCCCTTTCCTTTATTCCAAGAACCATTACAAAAAAGTCAAATCTTTAAACAAGACTTGAGTTAAAACATGAACTGATCATGTTTCCAGAGGCATGCCAATGCAAGTGATGATGCAATATCAAATATTTTTAAAGGTAAAAACTATAAAAAATAAAAAGATAAATATGTTCAAGCTAATATTTTAATAATTTAATAACTGTTTAGTTCAAAGCAAAGTAATAGGCATTTTTGAAAACAACATGTTTACTTTGCATGTCTTCATTTGTTTTCTATTTTCTATTTTTCAAATGCAGTTTAAATGGATTTTAAAACATAAAAATATACTACCCCTATTATATATTTTATATATAATATATATAACTAGATGGTTAAGGATGAAAGATGTTTATCAGCAGCTTTCCATTAAAGGTTATTACAGTTTACTAGTAAAATGTTTATTTTTGATAGTAATGATGTGACAGCTTCATCAGCGGCAACATCCAGGGTTCATTCTGTGAATTTTCTGTGTAATTTGCATTGATCTCACTCCCCTTCAATAAGCGAGGTGACTGGGTTGTTGATCGAAATTTTGAAAATGTGCCTTTTGAAAACATATCTTAATAACAAAACAGAAAAATAAAAAAAAGTTTTCCTTTTCACATAATGATCAGTTTGCAGTAACTATTTGTACTTCCAAACCAAACATTGTTGATAGAAAAAAAAACAACGCTACAGTCTAGTCTTAAAATCATCTCAATGCATTCTGCTTTTTTTGGCACAGTTTCCTTCTCTAGGTCTTTGGGAAATGTAATTGTTGGTGTAATTTCTTAAACTTAAAAGTTAATGAATCTTGTAACAAGAAACTTAAATAAAAAGGGGTTAAAACTGAGTATGTGAACTGTAGGATAATGCTTGGCACTTCAAAACTCCAACTGCAAGCCCATCTATTTATACTATAGGATTTCAAAAGTAAAACTACAAAATACTACAAAAATAAAACAAAAAAATTGAAAGAAATTACAGATCTCACCTCCCGGTCGTTCATGGTTTCTATCCGAATGCAGCAGCATTGCAATAGGCATTCCTACATTCTTGGAGCGCCCAACAACAAGCACATTTTTTCCAACTGTTTCAATGCCTGAAAAAAGGGGCATACATTAGCTGTCAAAAGTTTGGAATAATTACGATTTTTCAATGTTTTTAAAGGAAGTCCCTCATTTTCACCAAGGCTGCATTTATTTGATCAAAAATACAGTTAAAAGTGATATTGTGAAATATTATTACAATGTATATATATATATTTTAGTTTTCAGCAGCCATACTCCAGTCTAATCATTCTAATATGCCATTTTATTCGCTGACAATGTATTGCCTAGATCACTTAGATCGAAACAGCAAAAGTTGCTTATACTTATCTGCACACACACCAAACCATTCTGATAAATCTCATTCTCCAACTTCTTAATCTCCAAACTTTCCAACTATTTTTGAGATTTTTTACTTTTTGAACTACAAAAACTGATCATTTGTCCCTGTAAAAAAATCTTTCAATGCCTCCCAACAAACCCCAGCCAAGGTTTCGGATAATTTTGTTTAAAAAAAATTGCAATTTGTTTACCTAAAAAGTCAACAAATGATTGATCACCCAGCCATCCAGGTTGAAACCGTCATCTTGGAGGGTCCCTAACCAAATCTGTATTAACGTACATCAATGACAATGCTGCGTGGCCAGAAATTACAATACTATGATATTGACAGTCTTTGATCATAAAGAGCATCTGAGCTGAAAAAAAAAAAAAAAAAAAAAT